AGTGACACTTGTCAGAGAGGTGGTGTGTGCGAATCATATCACTCCGTCACACACTGAAATGCCAGGTGGAGAAACAGACAGCAGCAGAAAATATCAAGTCACACTTAAAATGGGCTGCATATAGAAACCTCAGAGATGGGAGGCATCTCTTTAAAAGGCTTTTCACTATTTTCTTCCAGTTGCAGCTAGAATCTGCTTTCATTCATCCGATTTAAAGTTCTGTCACTTGCATGAGAAGCTGAGATCACAAGATATGAGGCTTTTGAGTAATTCAGCAAACAATACTGAGAGGAGAAAGGCTTCTTTGTTGGACTCCACTGTTCAGTTCATATCATAGTTCTGTATGCCCAATGTAAGTGCTTTTGCAGTTGTTTCCAGCAATGAGGGAAATCATGACTTTGTTTTTTTTCTCTAAAGCAAATCAGCCTTTGTGCATATCTATATTAACTGCATATATCTATATATATACATATAAATGTATGTTTTAGGACTCACATTCTGTGTTCTGTACTGATAAGCTGTGTACTGTTTTAATGTATTTTTGTATATTCCAATACTGTTCATTTTGCATTTTCTGCCTTTGTGCTAATGTTAGCTGTTCTAACATACAAGTCTTATTATAGATGTTTATTTTCAAGAAGGGTGGGAATTTGTTATTTTTTTCATTGAAATTACTGGGAAGAAACAAAAAAAGGTGTCTGAAAATATGATCAAAATCTGCATGGAAAGAGGTTTCTTTTTTCATATATTAAGAAGTATAAATCCTAATCAGCAGTGAGAAGACTGTATGTAGCCACCAGTTACATTCAATCAGTGTTGGATACTGTTCCAAAAGCCATATAAAATTTGAAACACAGTGCTTTAAGAGATACGCCATACGACACAGGGAGCTCCTGGCACGGGGAGACAGGGATATGGGAAACATGGGAGGGTTTGAAAAGCTTACAAATCAGTAGGTAAAAAGATTTCCTCAGGACTATGTAATGTATTTGAAAATTTGCTCACATTTGCAGTATCTTAATATTTCCACGCCTTTCAGGCTCTTTGCTCTAAGTTCAGAAAAAAATGTAACCGGACTAAAAAGGGAAAGAGCGTGCTCTCATTCTGCTCTGCTGCACATAATCGTCTTTCATCTATAACTATAAAGTAGCAATCAGCCATGAGATAAGGTAAGGCAGAAAGCTTGTTGCTTTAACCGTGTCCACAGCAGAAGGGAGCTTTAAGCAGTACTGAAAGCACTGTGTTTATCGACCATAACTTTAAAGATGATAAGGTTGGTCACTGCCATAAAATCTCAAAGGCCTCGTAGCTGAAGAATGATGACTTTTGCATGGTATGTTTAAAAGGTTTTCTGGCTGCAGGATAGATGCAAACTATAGGCATTAATGAGTAACATACAATAATTTGACATAATAAAAGATACAGATTAATATGCTGTGTTGTCTTTATTATTCTCTCTAAAAGGTAAGGCAAAGAAATGTTGATCTATACCAAAAATTTTTGGGGTTGACTGTGGTGCTACACTGGTAGCATCGTGCAAAAGCCATTCTTTAGATCTAAATGTTTATTTTGCTCATTGTATTTAATATATAGCACTTCATTTACGCCTACTGGCAGTTTAACTGGAGGCATAATACCCTTTGCATAAAACTGAAGGACAATTCTGATGATCTTTTGATCACAAGTTGAGTCATACTGCCCTCTGGTGGTGAAACAGGCTCTGCACAACCATAAATGTTAATAAAAATCAACGTAAATAAAGAGGGGGGTTGATTTATGGATAAAAAAAAACATTATTTCTCTTCACAAATGTGTCACATTATTAATATCTTATTTCTAGTAAAGGAATTGGCCATTTTGGAAAAGATAACTCTTATAAGTGGTAACAAGAATACAGTGCCTTTGCGAGAGTATTTGGCCCCCTTAAACTTTTTGACCTTTTGCAATATTTCAGACTTCAAACATAAAGATATAACATTGGATTTTTTTTTGTGAGATTCAACAAGTGGTGACACAATCATGAAGTGGAACAAAATTTATTGGATATTTTAAAATTTTCTAACAAAAAACTGAAGAGTGGGACAATAATTAATTATAATACAATTAACTCATCGACCACTTTACTTTCAGTGTAGCAAAGTGTCTCCAGAAGTTCAGTGAGGATCTCTGAATGATCCAATGTGAGCTTAATAACTGATGATGATAATAGAATCCAACTGTGTGTAATCAAGTCTCCGTAACATGTTTCCCTGCTCTGTGATACTCTCAGAGGAACAAGGAACACACCAGGCAGGTCCGATACGGATTTGGATAAAGAAATAACTTTAAAAATCCCAAGAAGTAACGTGCAAGCAATAATATTGAAGTGGAAGGAGTATCAGACCACTGGGAATCTATAAAGATCTGCACTCTGGTCAGATGAAACCAAAACTGAACTTTTTGGTAACAGAGCAAAACATGTTTTGTGTGAAAGAAACACAGCTCATCACCCTGAAAACACTATGCCCACCGTCAAACATGGTGGTGGCAGCATCATGCTTTGGGCCTGCATGGATGGAGCCCATTACCCGATCATTCTGTTAGGATACCTATTGGATTCTGCAAAAGACCTGAGATTTGGACGAAGATTTATCTTCCAACAAGACAATGATCCAAAACATAAATCTAAATCTACAATGGAATGGTTCACAAATAAACATATCCAGGTGTTAGAATGGCTACGTCAAAGTTCAGACCTGATTGCAATGGAGAATCTGTGGAAAGATGCTCTCCGTCCAACCTCACTGAACTCCAGCTGTTTTGCAAGGAAGAATGGGCAAAATTTTAGTCTCTCAATGTGCAAAACTGCAACTTGCAGCTGTAATCACAGCAAAAGGTAGTTACAAAGTTTTAAATGAAAGGGGGCAGAATAATGTAGCATTCCCAATTCTTCATTTTTTTACTCATTAAAAATAGTTTAAAAATGAAATGTGGGAAAAGGTTGAAAATCTCAAGGGGGGCCCCCCCCCCCGAGTACTCTCTCAAGGCACTGTAACATTCTAACGTGCTGCATTCTAAATATGTAAATTACATAATTTTGCCAAATAAAAAAAGTTTCTAACACCTGTAAATATTTCTGAGTTATCAAAAAGAATATTTGGTAGACCCACCAATGCTCCACAAGGAATGATTTGCTTTTTGACAATTATGACCTAATAATAGGTATTATGCTTTCTTGTTGCACAACACATTACTGCAGAAAAAAAAATATGTTGCATATAGTTAAAAGATTCCTGCAGAATATTTTGGACAAACCAATGTGAAAATATGCTAAAATTCAGCTCTTTAGATTTCATTGCACAAGTTTAGCACATAAATAACCCTTAATATTAGCCTAATCAACACCATAATGGTAAGATTTAGAGATGGGAGCATCATGATACGAGGCAAGAGATTTGTGGAGAAGGGGGTATGTTAGCATTATTATACCAGACTGTACATAATTGAAGAAAGGAAATTAAATGTCCCGATTAGAAATATTGTTGAAATATTTGATTATTTTTCATTTTTGACACACAAGAAACAAACAAAAAAAAAAAAATTATTCAGCCTCAGACATTAATAGCTCAGTCATCACTAAACTTTAATCAGATTTATGGAAAGCAAATACTCTTTAGTATTATTACAAATGTATGTACCAAGTAAATTGTCACATTTAGCACTTGCTTTACCCAAACGAAAGGCAAAACTGCATTGCTTTGAGTTTTAAAGTGCAGCGTGCCACTTTGATGACATGACTACAGTTGAAGTCTGAAAAAAAAAAAAAAAAAAACATCCTCATATGGAGCCTAAGCAGAAATTCAACTGAAGAAACTCCTTGTTTTTTCATACATCAGCAATCACCAATCAGCTTTGAACCACACCTCCACGAAAGCCAATCGGCGTCCAAAGTTCATCTTAAAAGGCCTCCGTCTGCTACTATGGGCAGGCGGTGGATGCGCTGTGACTTCATTCAGATGACACAGTTTAAACCCACCTCCAGCCCCTCCTTCACCATCATAGCTAAAGCTTCATCAGAGTGTGATTCCTTCCGGACTCTTACTGCGTTCCCTGTCTCATCTCAACCGGTCCAGCAGAAGACCCCCATGTTGAGCCTGGTTCTGCCAGAGGTTTCTTCCCAATGGAGAGTTTTTCCTCTCCACTGTCGTTTCATGCTTGTTCATCATGGAGAGGTTCTCCCAACCTGTGTCATCCAACTGGACTTCCATCTTCCAGGTCCCTGAGTGAAGCTCTAGTATCAGCCCACGCAATCCACTGGCTCAGCAGACCGTCTCACTAACCAGCAGTCTACAGACTGACCAACTTCATCTATCTCCACTCCACCACCAGTTTCAGGCCTGGGGGGAAACATTCTTTGCTCCTGTTCATGCAGATCTATAAAAATTCAGTGGTATGTTTCCTGCCGAGGTCTGAGCGCCAAAGACAAAGTAATTGTATCAATAATTTCTCCTAATTGCTTTTTCTCTTTGTGTGAGTTTTTCAGATTGAAATGGAAGATGACATGACTCATTGGTTTACTTTGTAAAACATTCATTTCATTACTGTAACTGGGAAAAGCACCATATTTTCTTTTCTTTTTTTTTAACAGTGTCCTCTCTGGCAATGTGGCAATACGAATAAATGTCTTGATGCCAAAAAGAGCAATTGCAATTGCCATATTGCTCCACTTGTTTCATGCATATAAATTGCTTTATTATAATTATGCAGGGAGTTTTACAGTTTATACGGAAACTGCAATGTAAATAGAGCAGAAAAAACAGAAGAAGAAAGGAGAAAAAGAGAAAAAAAAGAGAAGAGATGAAAGAAAGAAGAGATAGAAAGATAGAAAGGAGACAATGACCATATTTTCATTTCAGCTAATTCAGGTCTACTTAATTCTTTTGATTCAAAAAGGGGGGGGTGACAAAGGCAAACATGGAGGTATGGATTGCTGATGGTTTTTAGAGATCTTCAAACAATAATTTTTTTTTTTTTGTCCCTTGAGTAAAGAGCAGATAGAGGCAAGGCAGACACAGAACGAGAAGATTGCAGTGAATTAGGAATAACTCAAACACATCTCAGCAACTGGATTATAGAACTGGTGCGATCAAACAAAAAAGACAGTAACACTATACTGATTATGAGTACCAAATTTTAGTATGAAATTGTATCAGTTCCACATGTAAAACAATAAGTTTAACAAGAACAGAAACACTGCATTAAGCATAATATTCAGATGTAAGTCTGAAATAAAAATATTACTCTAACGGCAATCATTACTACCACACAAACGGAAAAAAACAACTATTTGACCTTCAAATAATAATCTAACATTGGCAGTTAAACTAAATATTTTTGACCTGGGCTTAATTTGAATGAAACATTTTCAAGTATCTGAAATTGAACTGGAAATCCATGATTAATATACTTATCAGCCCTGAGTAGATTAATATTAATAACGGCAGAAACAATGTACTGTAAAAGACAAGATAAGATACTGTGCAACTGCAGTAATCTTGAAAAAACGGTTGACTCCTGATGCATGATTGGCCAAAAAAGAAGGTTATGTTTCACATTTCTAACTTAAGGACCCCTTTAGTTTCAACTCAATAAAACAAAGTTAGTATCCATTAGTATTAATGGGGTCAGCCTGTGTTCATTTTTGGCTAAACAATATCCTTTGAAATGTTTTTGGCATAATATGAAACAAATGAAACAAAAAAACCAAACACTAAATTTAAATCAGTCCTGCCAGAAGTGCAGCCAGTTGTACATGCTGGACTGTTTTGAAATGGGGAAGCTGTGCAGTTATGATGGCGGAGCTCCAGCTTCGATGTTGGTAGGCGGGTTTGTCTTGTGGAAAGGGGTTTCTTTGTATATGAACCAACAGTTTCCTCCCCACAGGATGAGGTTAAGGAATCCAAATGTCTGCAGAGGAGTTGAGACATAAGTGAAACACACAGCCAAAGCATATGAACACAGGGTAAGAAGGAGGGGATGACGCTGATATTTTGTCTGTATGTGCAGGATTGCTGAAAACTCTACAGATTTCATTCAGGACAAAAATAAATAAATAAAAAAGATCTTCCTAATCTAAGCACATTTTCTGACCAACCTCAAGAAAAAACATGTTGTAATGTTGCCACGATCATGTTTCACAAAGTTTCTGCACAATATTCACCTATAGCCTCAAGTGACTGGAACATGTCTTACATCCTTCTTTCTTCTACCTAGTTTATGGCAACCTGCTAGCAGGACTACTGGCTTTTTTCTTTCCCAGGAACATCTTTCTTCTTGCCAGATTCCCAATAATGGGACAGTTAAGTGCAATTTATCACCAATAGCTGCTAAAAAGTCTTCCACCTAAGCTGTGAATCTATGTAGCTCCTCCTTACCTGGTTATCATAGATCTTATGGATATTAGCTTGATTAATGTTATCCTTGCCAAGCCTGTCAGGGTGAGCTGATCGTTATCTCTACCTGCAATGGTGATTGTGAAATAATCTATTTTTCAAATGGATTGCACTGTCCTCTAAAACGATTGAGGCTTGACTTATTAGTTTTTCACCTCACCCTGGTGACTACTGAACGCAATCCGGTGCATTATATATTAAAGCTATGCACCATAGTAAAGGAGACCAAATACAAATGCACAGCTTAAATTGTTTTTATTTTAGAAACCATCACTCTTTTTACTTTAAATTCACAAGTGTGCTGTGTTTGCCCACCATTTCAAATATATGAAACATGGCAAAGCATCAACAGTTTATGGGATATAAAAACCTTTGCAAATACCGGTCTAAACTTGGGTCCAACACAATTACATATTAGGCTGTGTTCCTACTCACCACAGAGGCATTTAATTTGCCCATGACGGGCAGGGCTCCTGCGGTACATTTGTTGGTATCCCGGCAAACAGCAAGCAGTTTGATAATAGTTTGAGGATTTGTAGCCCATTTGACATCAGTCAAGCCTTTAGCCCAAGCGGAGGATGACACCAGCCACAGGAAAGCCAAGGCTGCAGTCACCAGCAGATCCTAAGGAAAGAGAAAATAAACAGGTTTTATCTGGTGTGGGATTCTAGGGCCCTACACAACAAATCAGCCTTGCCTGTGCAATTCCTCAGTCCTGTGGATCATGGCAACCGCAAAAACAAACACAGAACACCGGAATGTTTTAGGACAATTGAATGAAAGTCTTGTTGCTTCCTATTAAAGGCTGCTTTGTGACAACAAATCTGATTTAATAGATCTGCTTTTCTATCTGGTCTGTCCAGTCCAAGAAAAATCTAAGGACCACACTTCAATAGTAAATTCAGATCTTTAGTAACTCTGTTACAGAATGGATAAGTGTGCATTAATGTAAGACAGCGTAAGAACAGAGATGCACAATGGGAGAAAAAAAACAAAGAAAAAGAAATGCATACACATTACCTATTTTGTCAATAACAAAGCAAAAGGTTTAAGCTTCAATGTAGCTAAAAATTATGTGATGTGAAATTATTTAGTTTTCGTCGATTCTGTGTAGCTACCAATAGTTCTTTGAAGCTTCTTTGCACAAAGTTTAGAACAAGTCTAGCTGGGGGAAAGTGCATGTTTGGAAAAATGGATGTGCTAAAAAGACTAGGGGGGGAAATACAGAGCAAAAAGGCTGTTTGATTTTAATTGAATACAAAAACCATTAAATAATATGAGATTTTATTTTCAAACATGAAGAAGTAGAAATGGAAATCTAGATATTTTTCGTGTTTGAAAAAAGATCAGCTCGTTTTTTCAGTTTCACACAGGATCCTGTAGGAGGCGCTGTTTCCTCTGATCAGAAGAGCTGTCAAATATTTTATTTTCCCCTCTAAACAACCATAAACCAAGGTGCCTAATTAAACATTTAAGACAGAATTACTTTGTTAAAAGGTTTAGAATAAAATAATTTCTTTCTAATTACATGAAATGTAATGATGTGAAATACACCTGTGTTATTTGTGGTCATTGTTTTCCTGTTCAACCTGATGTAGAGAATTTAGAATATAATCAGGTTACGTTCAAACTGCAGGCCTCAATGCTCTATTGAAATTTTTTTGTGAGATCTAATTTTTTATTTTTTTTTTGCTTGTCTTGCTGTTCACATTTCCAAATATATGTGACTTGTATGTGATCTCCAGTGTGAACTGCATTCATACAACGCAAGTGTCCCGCATGGGCAGTAGAACACGTGATGACGTCACAAGCAGCGAGCGTGCTCCGTTTTTACAGAAGTGAACATGGATTGCAGTCCTGGAGTGCATCTAGCGATCTTTCCCAACCTTAAAAACTCAATCTTTTCAAGACGGTTAATGCTCTTCACATTATCATCCTTCATTGTTGTTGTTTTTCTTCCTGCTTCTGCATAACAAGATGCAGAATAGTGAACTTTGTCAAGTATTAATGACTTTCAGGTCGGATAAATACGACCTGGCCGTTTAGACACAGGTCAGATATAAAAAGATCAGATTCGTAAGGGATTCAGGACCACATAGCCAAGTGGCCTGGGTCGCATTGGAAAAAACTGGATCTGTATTGTTCAGACTGTCATTAAAAGACCAGATATAAGCTGCATATTGGCAAAAAAGACCAAAATCAGGTTTGGGTCACTCCAGGCTGCTGTGTGAACGTAACCTTAGGCTCAGTTTCTCTTTTGATGTTTTAGTTATTTTAGATATGAAAAATGAATCAAACCAAATCAATCCAAATTTACATACCAGCTCATCTGTTTTTGAACACAAGAGAACAAAGAAAAAGAAACAAAATTAATCTTTTTTGTCATTTTCCTTTGTTATTTGTTGGTGGTTTTTGATGAAACCTAAACATTAAAAACTAGGGATTTATTTTATATATTTTCTATTTTCTCCTATCAAGACACCATAAGATTACATAAAACAGAACTAACAGATTCAAAATTCAACACAAAAAATAAATAATAAATGGAAAAACGGAAAGCTCCAAGTTCCCTGTTAGAATTAGCTTATTTCAAAAAAACAAAAGTGATTCTAATATAATCTCAAACTGCTAAATATATTTATGAACTTTTTCAGGAAAAAGAGCAACATGGAAACATAATTGAGTTTGATTCCCGTGTTCTGTAGGATCACAGAACACAGAAGCATCTCTAATCTGACGTTTTCAGTAATCAGATTCCTTCCGTTGTGGCTGGGCTTCCTTATAGTCACATGCATTACTAACTTTTAGCAACACTAATATTGCTCATCCACCATCGCCTGCTTTGTTTCCTGACAAGCATTTGCACAACCCTTAAATCCTTTACTTGTTAACCAATCCTTTTCCTGTCCTTTACTCACATCTGTTACGCCTTCTCTGAACTTGTCAGATTCCTGCAATAAGCAAACCCACACTGTGGATGTTTTCACTGCCTCTGCACACCAGACTTGGATAAATAGGTGATTATTAACAAATGAGTCGTTTTATAACCACCTTAGCATGGATTCAACTCAAACGTGCAGGGGGATGAGTCCTGAGGACCGGTGTTATGGATGTTCACCAAAAGTCTTGTTTAGGTTGAGATTTTCATTGAAATGTATATTCTCTAAACTTAATCTTTCAGATACAACAAATTTTGTGTTTTTAATTGGAAATCTTTTTGTTGTGTTTTTTTTTTTATCATTCTAATTTCACATGAAATTGAGAGCAAATACTCTGCGACTTTTTCTACTTTTTGGTACTATTCATTGAACTTCCCCAAAATAAAGCTAGCTTTATTTAAAGGTGTAGTAGTAGCCAACTATAATCCATTTTTGTTGAAAGAACAGGCTAAAATCCTTTATTTAAAGACTAAAATATTGAAAAACCCTTACCCTAAAACAAATTATTAATGACCCTTTAAACCATTTGCTCTTGTTTTAAAGAGGCAGATATTTACATTTTTGATCTACAATGATATACAGAAACCCTTTTCTAGCCAAAGATTAGAATTAAAATATTGGGTGTTTCATGCCTTTCAGGGGAGGTGAATAAAATAATTTGTTTTTAATGGACAAATGTGACCATTTCGTTCTCTTCACTAATCTAAAAGCAAAAACATCCATCTCATGTAAAAAAAAAAAAAAAAAAAAATTAATTAAGTCAAAAGAATAAAAACTATCAAGTCATTCTATAAGACATGCTGAAATGTCCTTTTAATAAAACTAAAAATGCAATGATTCTCATCAATTTAAACAATGGCAAAAAATGAGGAAATCCATGCAAACTTACCATAATGGGACCACGGGAGGACTCTCTATACAAGTGCTGATAGCCCAGATAAAGGATTAATGAGGCGGTGCTGTAAAGGAAAGCCAATACCCCGATACAGACGTAGAACTCTGCAGAGGACGAGTAATCCCCAGTCAGGAAGAAATGGTTGTAGATCGTCTGGTTGGTTGAACAGTTACGAACGTTGTAGGGATGCTGCACCAACCTTTGCACACAGACAGAGAACAGTTAGCAGATTCGCAGAGATCCAACATCTTGCATTTAAAAAAAGCTGAAATATTTCTTCATTCCTTTGCGATGCTTTAAACTCTTAAAATGAGATGCAAGGCTACAGTGTCTCTGTTTTTTTTCTATGAACTGATTTTATATTATTTCTGATCACAAAAAGACACCATACAGTGAAAAGAAAAGGTCCTGTCACATCTTTAAAGTATGCATCTCTTGATTTGCTTCCAATGTGATCACTGGATAGGTATTGGGATCAAGAGTGTGGGATTTACACTATTTCACAGACATAGGATGGGGAACAGTTTTCTGTGACATCATCAGGGATGAAAGTAGTTTTAACTTCTTGTCTGTACAATTAGAAAAAAATTAATTGCCCTCTCCCTCTCCTACCATGCATTTTTTTTAAAAGCAGTGTCAAGATCAATAAAAAGACAAGAATTTCAATCAATTAATAAGACTTTTTTTAGAGACTTTTTTGAGTACTTTTTAGTTAGACTTTTTTTTTAATTAATAAAGCGCAAACCAGAGCAGGAATTCAACCTAAACTGTTAAAAAATAATCTAGGCTTTGCATTTCAATGCTTCTAATTAAACATGCCCTACCCAGAACTTTTCAAGAGACATTATGTTAGGTTCAATTGATTCAAAAGCTGTAAGAAAAAAAATACTCCCATTTTTTTTTTTTTTTACTTTTGCTGCCTGATTAATTAAAGATTATTTGAGAAAACAATCTACAGGTTAATTAATTAGCAAACTGCTTTTGCTGCATTAAGACATTGCAGCAGTAGGAACAATTTAACTTGAGAAAAGTTAAATACATACCGAGTATTTATTTTAAAAGCTTAGACATTATTTTTCCACTGAAACAGTACATCGTACTACACCCAGCCTTAAACTTTCTTTATGTTTTTGAATAAAACAAAGGCTGTCTTACCCAGAGGAACTGAGACCAACCCCCTTTTCTGGGGGCAAATGCTGCTGTTTGCTTAAACATACCTGAAAGGATAGTTGAAATCTGCTTGTATTTCCTCATTCTTGCCTCCTTTGCATTGAACGTTGAAGGTGGTGGAGCCGCTGTAACCTCCAGTTGTTGCAAAGGCAAAAATGGAAAACAGCTGAAACCACAGCGGGAAGATAGAAAGGACAAACGGTCGGAAAAGAAGAAAAAAAAACGGAAGGATGTTGAAATTAAGAGTGCTGATCTAACTTTCACACATGTAAACTTCCTGGTCTGAAGTTGTATTTGAAAAAAAGGGTTATCTAATAAAAAAAAACCTAAATAAAGTAAAGAATGAAAACAGTTAACTGGAGGCAGCAAACGCTTGGTTAGACATTGCAATATTTGCATAAACTTTAAACTGAGTGGCCTACATACTTTCACCTAGAGCTGCATAGAGGTTGGAGCGTCATTCTAACGGTGCAGCATTTTCACATTTTACCTCAAATAACTGCGCTGGGCGTGGTGAAGGTCACAAGACCAACAGCCTAATCAATTGGTGAGGGATTTTTGGACACATGAACCGGCCATATGGTGAATAAATCCTGAAAAACTCACCCACTCTAACAGGCGGATAAATGCCAGAGGCTCCTTCAGGGGTCCAAAGTCAAGAGTGAATCCAGATGAGCGCACTTTCTGATCAAAACAAGACAGACTGTGTTAGAAAACAGAATAAAAAATATTCTACTACAGAGTTATCGCGAAAATGGAAGGAGGGTGAGGTTTCTGGTAAAAGAAAAAAAACAACAATCTGTTATCTATGGGGGCCTCTGTTCTTTGGGGCCCCTGATGTTTGCGCTGTTACCTGAGCAACAGATTCCATGTCCTGTCCGAGAAAAAAGAAAAAACAAACTTCTGAAAGTCTTCGCCCCTTTTGGCCTTGCAGCTCCGTGCAGGCTCCTCTGTCGTGTCAAACTTTTCACCGAATCGCAAATGCTGACACGTGATCACAGACACAGAGGGGAGCGGGCGGTAGGGGGCGCTGCTGAGACAGGGGAGAAATGAGGGGATTTATGGATTTTCAGACATCCCAAGTCTCCCGGAAGTTCCCGCGAGTCGGATAAATCATCCCGGATTTTAGACTCTGCGAGGTGGTGTTTCTTTATTTAATGCGAGTGAGAGTGAGAAGGCAATAATTCATGCATCATGTGCGGATAAGACATACTGCAAATGCGCAGACAGGGTGTGCGGGGTGTGAGGAGGAGGTTGCTGGTGAGAGCTGTGCAGCGTATCTGTCCAAAGCGATGCTCTGTTCAACCAGCGCTCCAGGCGACTGGCTGTCAGAGCGCTGATTGGATCAGTCAGAAAAATAAGCCAATAAGTTTCAGTTTACTCTTTTACAGTCACCTCATTTTACAGCAGAATATACTAAAGTGTATCCATGCCTGGTGAATGTGAAGAATGATGGAGTGTGCATGTATGGGGCACGGTGCGGCCAGGGGCGTCATCTGACCCAGTACTATACAGGGGCACAATAGGGCACCAAAAAAAAAAAAGGAGCGCGCAAAGCACGTGAGCAAAAAAATTTTGGGCAATTATTTATTTAAAAAAAACATGGGCCCAGATAATTAATGCAAGCACATGAGCAAATATTTTATAGCACTTATTTATTATTATAAAGCGTCATGGTTTTTGGTATAGATGTATACTAAGTTATCATACCAGTATATTTACATGAATGCCAATAACCAAAAGGACATTATA